CAAGGTGTGTCAAGTGATTATTGTGTAAATATAGGTCAAACTGAAAAGTCCAAATTCTGGTGAACTGGTATTGATGATTAACCGGTTATCCAACCTACATCATAAAAACAAAAATGAACTCCAAGTAGCTCAGTAAAAACCTTGACTCAAAAACAAGCCAAGGGATAGAGAAACAAAAATGTCAGTCAGATAAGAATACAGATAATACAGTTAAATCAATCCTATTTTCTCTCATCCAGTGAAGGACACAGAAAGACTAACCTTCCATATCAGTACAACTGAGGGGTGGGCAACACAGGGAAAATTTAATTGCCTGATGCTCAAAACATCTGAGGATCTGAGGTCCAAAGCTGGTATCACATGAAGCCATAAAATCTCCTGGTAGAACTTTAAGACCAGGCAGTAGCCTGGGAAACAGCTGCATGTTTTTGAAAAGGTGATGCACCCTTACGGAATCTATCTGGAACTCTATAAAGGGAATCTGTCTTCTGGAAAAAAATAGTGGCTAAAAGATATATTATCACTGCCCAAACCACATCCAGACAATGAAGGGAAATTTCCTTCAAGTGAACTGGAGGGTGACAGAATGGTAGAAGAACAATGTCCAGGGTAGAGGTGAATGGCAGGATATACCCTAGGCAAAAATTAAGTTCTTGGCCTCAACACTACTTTGCCAATATGCAAAACCAGGGATAAGGATAAGGTTGCCGATCAAGGAGTAGACACGTGCAGTTAATTTTCTTCTGAATTGAAATTTGGACAAATTTTTTGTTATTTGGTAATTCGGATGCATCTGAATTTCCAAATTACAATAGTAATAAACAAACGAATACGAAATAACGAAACAAAAAACATTGTCCAAAATTCAAATCAAATTTGAAACCAAATTAAAAATATAAACATATTGCTGATTTCCCTCAAAAACTGTGTGTATTCGTGTTAGAATATAGCAGACCTGAAAATTCCATTTTTGAAAAAAAATAGAATATAAAAGAATAGATTATAAAAGATTAGAATAGAAAATAAAATAAAGGAATAGTATAGAAAAGAATAGGATAGAAAAAAAATTGAGTAGATTTGAACAGAATAGAATAAAATAGAAAGAATATAGCAATATTAACATTTTTAAAAATAGAAAAGAATAAAACAGAATAGAAAAGAATAGAGTAAAACAAAATAGAACAGAAAATGAAGGAATAGAATAGAAAATGAAGGAATAGAAAAGAATAAAAAAAGAATAGATTAGAATACAACTGAATAGAAAATAAAGGAATAGAATAGAAAAGAGTAAAACTGAACAGAATAGGAAAGAACAGGAAAGAAAAAATAAAATAGAATATAGCCACTTTCCAAAAACTGAATTTAAATAGGACTGAATGGAATAGAAAAAAAAAAACAAAAACAAACAAAATAGAATAGAAACAAGTAAAATACAATAGAATAAAAGAGAACAGAAAATAAAGGAATAGAATAGATTAGAGATTAGAACAGAATAAAAATAGCATTGAAAATAAAATAAAAGAATAGCACAGAAAAAAAAAAAAAGGTATAAAATAGAAAGAATATAACCATCTTCTAAAATTCAAATAGAATAAATTTGAATGCTGATTTGATACTTTTTGTTTCGGTCACAATTCGAAAACGAATAAATGAATTCTGAAAACGAACACATTTAACAAATTTAACCAAACAAATTTATTTAAATAACGAATTGAAACAAATTTTTTTTTGTCTTGCATGTGTACGATCTAGACACTCGCCTCAGCAGAGGACAGATGCAGTGTGATCTCATTCACGTGAATGGATTGAGTTTGGCAAGTACTATCAGGTTACTGCTGAGGCATGTACACACACCCACAGCCGTTGTCTTTTGCGGGCTACGTGGGAGCAGTAAAACTGACCCCAACAACAAGTGTAAGCTTTAGCCTTAAAGTGGTAGTAAACTCGCTATACTAACTTGTACCTACAGGTAAGCTTACAATCAGGCTTACCTGTAGGTACAATGAATATCTATTGAAACGTGCACCGTTTAGGAGATACTCATATCGGCAATCACCACGAATGTGCATTGATGCTCTGCATTCAAGGTACACAGTATGCTACAGAATGCAGAGTGCCGTACTGAATCTTCTGGGCATGTGCAGGAGTGACATCATCGCAGCCCCAGCTATTTAAATGGCTGAAGCCCACAAACATGGAAGGAAGACCAGGTGAAGATGGAAGTCTGTCAATGGTGCATACTATCACATTATGGCATAAGCCTGCAGGGAGCCCTTTTTTGGCGGTTTACCACCACTGTAAGACTTAAGATGCTCCTGTCCTTTAGAACCTGGGCTTTCAACAGCCATGCCCAATAAAGCAAGCAATTGTAAAGCAGGATGGCAAATTGGTCCTTAGGACAGAAGATCCCAATAATCTGGCAGAGCCCATGGAGTGCCTGCCAGGAATCTTACCAAAAACATTGGGACCAGTCTGAAGCAATGAGGATCACTGAAGTGTCTCAGGGGTAAGCTCATCAGTCATAAAATAGATATTTTCTGCAGTCACTGGCTTTCACACTGCTAAGGCAGTGGGCAAATCAGAATCTGCAGGAAAGAGCACTTATGGCCTATAGATTCCGTCATATAAATATAGGTCAGAAAATAGGTGATGCGGGTCAAAGATTGAATGACTGTGATCAAACCTGAGCTGAGGGGGTCCAACCACACATGGCAAGAGTCAAAGAGAACTCTCAATACATAAAAGAGAATGACACGTTTCCAGTGGACACGCTGCAAACAACCTTGAAGAAATTAGTAGAATGTGAGCTGTGGCACCAATACTGTCCTCTCATTATGCATACTGTGTGAAAGGGAACAAAAACATAATGGGGTTTTCTCAAATATGACAGCAAAAGTGGAAATACTGTTAAACCAACTGCAGACTCTGGGAGTGGTAGACACTCCCCAAAAAAATATGTCATCATTGTAGGACGTGTTTAACATGTCCAGTCCTTCTGCACTGCTAACAGGACCTCCCCTGTCCCAGTACTCGGCAATTCAGCTGTGATTAATCAAAGCTTCATTGCCAAGTACACAGAAAGTTCTGACAGCTGGAGCTATCAAAAGAGCAGTCTGGCAATGTTTGTCCACAACATTACTCAACCATCAAAAGGCATGAACTTTGATCTGCAGATGAAGTCAGTTAATGCAACCAGACAAGTTAAAAAAGAAAGGGAAAAAAAAAAGTGTTTTTTTTAAATTAAATATTCCTTTGTTTAACCCAGGGGTGGGCAAACTTTTTGACTTGAGGGCCGCAATGGGTTCATATATTGGACCCGGGGGCCGGACCAAGAGTAGATGAATGATGTGTATGTGTCATCCATAGTAAGTATAGTAATATTCCCCCATAGTAAGCATAGTAATTAATCCCCCATATAGTAATTCATCCCCCATATAGTAATTCATCCCCCATATAGTAATTCACCCCCCATATAGTAATTCATCCCCCCATAGTAATTCATCCCCCATATAGTAATTCATCCCCCCTATAGTAATTCATCCCCCCATATAGTAATTCATCCCCCCACATAGTAATTCATCCCCCACATAGTAATTCATCCCCCATAGTAATTCATACCCCCACATAGTAATTCATCCCCCATAGTAATTCATCCCCCACATAGTAATTCATCCCCCACATAGTAATTCATCCCCCACATAGTAATTCATCCCCCACATAGTAATTCATCCCCCCTATAGTAATTCATCCCCCATAGTAATTCATCCCCCATATAGTAATTCATCCCCCATATAGTAATTCATCCCCCATATAGTAATTCATCCCCCCCTATAGTAATTCATTCCCCATGTCCCCCTGTGTCAATTCACTTACCTTTGTTCCTCTCGCCGTGTTCCCGCGCCGCTCCGGTGTAGCATGAAAATCTGTCTCCTATGAGGATCTGTCCCCCTTGACGTATCTGCGCATGTGCCAGTTTCAGGCATTAGCACCCGATCGGCGATCTTCGGCACATGTGCAGATACGTCGAGGGGGACAGATCCTCATAGGAGACAGATTTTCATGCTACACCGGTCTTCAGGGCGGACTGTGAGAGGAGCCTAGCGGGAGCCTAGCGGGAGCCTAGCTCCGCGGGCCGGATTAAAAGGTCCGCCGGGCCGTATATGGCCCGCGGGCCGTAGTTTGCCCATTGCTGGTTTAACCTCTTGCTAACCATTATCTGAATCTGATCAGCACGAATAAATTCCTTATTCTCCATTCAATTATTGTTTTCTTGCAGATTTTTTTTTGTTAGTTTCTATTTTATCAGCTAATAAGAACATATCTTTTTTTTTTTTTTTTTTGCTTGTTAATGTTTACACCTTTCACATATATTTACAAAATTTCACATTTATGAAAAAAAAAAAAAAAAAAAAAAAAAGCAAAATTGGAAAAAAACTCACTTTACTTCATTTCTGAATAGCTTTGCAATGCTTTGTACCAGAATTGTAATTTTAGTGTCATTTTAAACAGGACAAATTACAGAATAAAATGTGAACATTTTATGTGCAGTAGCACTATTTATTGTTAAATACTGCTAAAAAAAAAAAAAATGCGCGTTTGTTACATTTAATTGTGTAAGGATTGCGGAAAAAAACGTAATTGTTGCATGACAATATTCACACAAAAAAAAAAAAAAAAAAAAAAAAAAAAACAGCCTCGTTTGTCCATAAAAACAAAATAAAAACAAAAACAATACATGTATTACATTTTTATCTTAAGTAATGAGAAAGTTATTGCCGAATTAACAAGCCCATAGCAGAAATGTGAAAAATTGCTCTGGTCCATAGGGGGTGAACCGGGGTGAGTGGCGAAGTGATTAAATTCTATTAAACTTGTAGGTTACCATACAAACATTTTAGAAAGCATGAGGAAATTTATATGCCACATGTTGGGGAACATTCCTTTTGAGCAGCGTATTTGTGTAAAATGGATTTTAATCACTGAAAAGTAACATGACTTACTGGCACACTTGACAAGTTACATCAGATTGGAGGCCTCCTGTGAAAATTTGGTCTATGATACAGTTACAGTGGTTCGGATTGTTGGCCTTTTTTCCATTGTCATCACCTAAAAACAGAAAAACAGGTAAATACTGAAAACAACAAAAAACTGTCTTTAGATATGCTTACAAACTGTATTCTGACTGTATTTATTTTGCAAAGTTACACTACAGTCATTTATTCCTGTTTCACCTTTACAGACAGTCTTCTGCCTGCTCAAAAAGACCACAAATACGTAACTGTGATAATGCTGATTTACCGGTACTATTCCATCAGCCCAGTGGAGGTAATGAATCAACATATAAAAGGTGTAAATCTAAGCCAGAAAAATGGGCCCGATTTCCCCCCCCCCCCCCTTACAACCGAAGATAAAGCATGCACACCCACCATATGGGCCCGATTCCCCCCCTACAACCAAAGATAAAGCCTGCACACCCACCCATACAAAAACTACCTTAAAAACAAATAAAATCAGCACAAGGGACATTACTTAATGATGTGTGTCCCTAGTGCTGCTATGTCCTCCTTTCACCAAAATCTTACTTTTGCAATGTAACCCTACTTCCATAACATTTTTGGGTGCGGCGAGAGTTAACAGAACTAGCGGGCTGTAATGAGCACTCAGCAAGAGAGCCCAACTATACCCGCCCTTTCCGCCCAGCTGTTCCATTCATAGCTGTTGCTAAAACTTCTATAAAACTAAAACAGCATTTATGAATGGACGACCGGCAGATGGTTTGCGCCTTATATCCAAAGATAATGGTCCATTCATAGAAGCTGTTGTAACGGCTTCTATGAATAGAACAGCTGGGTGGAAATGAGGGCCAAAGGATGATACAGCAGTGCCCAGGACACACTGGTGATTTTTATATTTTTGGAAAAACTTAGGCTCTTTTTTCTCTTCCTGTCACCCTTCCAGCACCTATAATCCCTAGGTTTGGTGAGCATTATTCATAGCATAGGGTATAATATAACCTATGCTTTACAGTAGGGTAAGCACAGTGAATTATTCATTACAAATCTCTCCTTTACAAATCTACTACGACTGGCAACCACTGCAACCTGCCAGGAAACAGGAGAGATCTTAGAAGTCTAGCTAAGACTAAGGGTGGTCCTGGCAGAAAATTGTTAGCTCAACAATGCCTGAATCCAATAAGATGAAATCACTGCTCAGGTATTTTGACAGCTGGCAGTGCCACTGGGAAGATTCCTCTATCCACACTATTTAGCATAGGCTGAAAAACTAAATCTATACGTGTGGCCAGCTTTTCTCCTGAAAGATAACTCTCTCTCTCTTTACCGGTCTCCATCTATCTAAATAGAAAAGACTTTACAATTTCTCAATTTTCAGGGGCCAGACCTAGAGAGACAACGAGCAGAAGAAAACATAATAAAAAACATGTTGCAGGAAAAGTTTAGCAGATATGCCAAGTGTAGCTGTCCTCCAGAAATGCAAGCACATTCATACTTGAAGAACTGATGTGCTGCGCACTCAGCTAGAAGTGAAATGATGTGTGCGAGTTGCATAGAGGACATCAATACTGGAGTTCTCCTGAATTTCACCAGATTTCTAAACTCACATTAACCACTTCGTGTCTGGACACTTTTACCCCCTTCCTGTCCAGGCCAATTTTCAGCGCTATCACGCTTTGAATGACAATTGCGCGGTCATACAACACTGTACCCATATGATTTTTTTTGCATTTATTTGAGACAGATAAAGCTTTATTTTGGTGGTATTTAACCACTAGCCTACAGGGCACTTATACCCCCTTCCTGCCCAGGCCAATTTCCAGCTTTCAGCACTGTCACACTTTAAATGACAATTGTGCGGTCATGCAAACTGTACCCATATGACATTTTTATCATTTTTTTGAGACAGATAGAGCTTTCTGTTGGTGGTATTTAATCACCTCTGGGATTTTTATTTTTTCTTAAACAAACCAAAAACCACTGAAAATTTTGTAAATAAGTGATTTTTCTCCTTCACTGATGTGCGCTAATGAGGCTGCACTGATGGACACTGATAGGTTGTACTAATGGGCATTGACAGGCATCACTGATGGGCACTGAAAGGCAGCACTGATACATGACACTGATAGGCGGCGCTGATAGGCAGCACTGACTGGCACTGTTAGGCGGCACTGATGGGCGACATTGAAAGGCAGCTCAGATGGGCACTGATATGTGGCACTGGCACTGATGAGCACTGACAGTTGGCACTTCTGGGGCCACACTGATCATCAGTGCCCTGATGATCAGTGTACATGTCCCCTCCGCGGAAAGCAGATTACCGGCTCTCCTCTCCGACCTGTCAGTGTGACAGCTCGAGAGGAGAGAAATGCCGATAACCGGCATTTCTGTGTTTACATGTGATCAGCTGGGATTGGACACAGCTGATCACATGACCGAGCTGACATCTTCGGCTCTTGCCGTGATCCGCTGTGTCACAGGGACACAGCGGACCGGCGATCGCTGTGCTGCGCGCTCCCTGCGCCGTGCATGCGCAGTGAGAATGGCAGGACGTCATATGATGTCCTATCAGAACGAGAGAACCACCTTAAGCCCGTGATTGTACTATAGGGCGGGCGGAACGTGGTTAATCACCACTGGGATTTTAATTTTTTTTGCTATATAAATGAAAAAGTCCAAAAACTTTGGGGGAAAAAAAAAAAAAAGTGTTTTTCTTATAAAATTTTGCAAATAAATAATATTTAATCATAAATCTTGTCCAAAACGTATTCAGTTATCTTTTTAGTAAAAAAAATAAAAAATAAAAAAAAAAAAAAAAAAAAAAATCAACCCAAATTAGTTTATAACCAACAAAAATAATTTTTGACACTGTACTACTTATGGGGGGTGATGAAGATTTTTTTTTTTTTTTTTTACACTGATTGCTTTTAGCAATCATTTCTCCTCTCTGGCTGCATTCTTGCAGCCATTGAGAAACACTGTGTGAGCTGTGATTGGTCACAGCTTGTCACATGGTACAAGGCTGTTGTGAATAGCCTTGTACCATGTGACCTCTGTGATCATTCACAGATTTCACACGTAGTAAGCAATGATGAGAGAAGTGACATCTTGCTTACTTCACTGCATGTGATCACCGATTGGCCAATCGGTGATCACATGATCGGGACCTCGCACAGAGGTCCCGTGCGACGATCGGTGTTCAACTGTGTCCTCCGGATCGCGGTGCTGTGCACTCCCAGGAAGCACGCACAAACGGCCGGACGGGAGGTGGTTAATCTATATGAACAGTATGTAGGTTTTAAAAATTCAATACTCAACATTGAAAGACACACACAAAAAAAAAAAAAAAAATCTTGAAAACATTACTTTACCCTCTGCTCAGCTCTTTATTGAACTATGCCACTGGTCCTCTTCTGGGTTGAATGATTCCAACCACTATCAAAAACGCACTTCGTGGAGGCCATCAATGACAAAACCCCTTTCCCCCTAGGATGGTTCTCCACTCCCTATGGATGCCTGGACTCATAGGAGAATACCACAAAAAACGATGCATGCACATCATAATGGCAGCATTATTTTATTTAGCAGAGAGGACTCCCACCGCTAAAAAAAAAAAAAAAAAAAAAAAAGAAGAGCGAGGGCCCTTACTTGTCACACAACCAACCAGTAAACACGTAGAATTATGTATGTTTAAAAAAAAAAAAAAAAAAAAAAGTATATAGTATATTTATTTATTTCAGGTACTTATATAGCGCCGTCAATTTATGCAGCGCTTTACATACAGTATATATTGTACATTTCACATCAGTCCCTAACCCTCAAGGGGTGTACAATCTAAAAGTCCCTAACTCACATTCCTACATATACATACTAGGGCTAATTTAGACAGGAGTCAATTAACCCACCAGCATGTCTTTGGAGTGTGGGAGAAAACCGGAATACCCAGAGGAAACCCACGCAGTCACAGGGAGAACATGCAAACTCCAGGCAGGTGATGCCGTGGCTGGGATTCGAACCAACGACCCTAGTACTGCCAGGTGGAAGTGCTAACCATTTAGCCACTGTATATGTGAACCAGTAGAGAATGAGAATATGCTCACCTTTGCAATGTCTGTGCAGTACATCTAATGCAGCAATTAGAAACTCATGTGCATCCTGTTGCTCGTACCCTGCTAAATGCCGTGCATGTGTCCATACAAGATGCAGTAGCCTATATGGAATGTGTGGAGATCGATGCCCAGAGTAAAA